CAATCATTTAAAATCTTTGTTTTTGTTTACTCGGGTTATCTTTGTCTGATATTAAAATCTGCTTGATTATCTGAAACATGTAAGTGTGACAGTTACATAAAAAACAGAGATCAGGAAATGGGCAAATATTTTTTCACAGCACAGTATGTCCTTATGTCAGGTGTCATTTCTTGTAGTTTTTTTTAGCCAAAAGTTCTATGTAGAAGAAAAAACCTCCTTGTCTGGCCTTCAAACAGCCCTCAAACCAAAACAAATGTGTTTTAATTTGTTAATTTACTTTGTCAGTGAATATGCGACTACACTGTCTCTCTTTCTGAAGAATCTGTGGCCTTGCAGTGAGCTTGTTTATTAATTCCAGTTGCCCTTGGTTCAAAGAGAGAGCAAAGGGAGAGGGAGCCGTTCTCACATTAAGTGTTAACTGTGTTGTTAGATAGGGACTCATATGACCACTTTATTTCTCATTAACTGTGTAAAAACACTCGTGACTATGAGTTTTGAAGTGCTCTGTAAAAGTGGACAGCACATAGACTCTTAACAACGACGACGACAACAGCATCCTTACTTTCAACTTTGGGCTTTCCGATCACCTGTTTAGTGAAGCCCACACTGTTCGGCAGAGTGCTTGTTGATGCACTTGCTTTACATGCATCTCCCCTGTAATCATCCATACTCTCCATCTCACAGCTGTTCCAAAATTAACATAAATGCAGTTTCAAATCAAGCACCACTCATCACTTGCATAACTCTATAAGCAGCATGTAACTGAAAGCAAAATACACCAGCGAATGAGGGCTCCTTTTATATAAGCGGTGGATTAAGATGAAGGTTTAGTGTTATTGCAATCGTGCAGTTGCATAAACAGCACAAAGCCTCTGTCACATTTTGAAACTGTATTTTTAGATGCTCTCTGCAAGTATTCTCACACAGGACATCCACTAAAGGTTGGAGGTGGCTGTAGCTGCAGGTCACTGGAATATATGTGATATCTCCCCTTCGTGCTAAGAGCTGGACCAGTACTCTTAGGGTCAGAGTATTCTGGGTAATCTCTTTGAACTTAATTTGCCACAGGCACTGAGCCAGCACGTCTGTTTCTAAGCTACAGTTTTGGCACTGTGGGGTAATCATGAGACAACAGGCTAAAGCGGGAGCCGGATTAGAATATAAAAACATATTGAATAAAAGATAGAAAATGTTTTCTGATGAAAGCTTTCATAGTGTCTGGTCTCACGCTAGCTTTCTGCCCCTACAGCTCCTGTATTTTGTCCTGTGCATGATTGGCCTGGTCATCTCTGTGCTGGTCATGGCGTTTGCTGCCCACCATTACGAGCAAACCAGCAGCTTCATCTGTGAGCAAGATGTAGAAGCCTGCGTCTGCATACTCGATGAAGAAGATCTACTAGCTCGCACCTTCACTTACGAGGGAGTCAGTGACTGCGAGGTGATCACCGGTACACTCACACTTTACTTCCTGATCCAGATCTTCCTCAATCTGGCCCAAGCGCTCATCTGTGCCGTTGGTGCCTTCATCATGTGGAAGCACCGCTATCAGGTCTTCTTTGCTGGTCTTCAGATTGGCTCTCCCTCAACCCAGCAGTGGCAGAAAGTGTAATTGAAGATGGCAAAGCTCACGAGGTGCCTCTGGTCAGTCAGCTCAAGAGGGAGGTTGACTTAACTCTGGCGGACTGGAATATTTGTCTTTTTGTGTGCCTTGGCTTGTTCTCTGTCAGCCAATCACGTGGCAGCAGCTCAATGTATTTATGCTGGAAGTTGTATCAGCTTTGTAACAGCTTTTTGTATTTTATATAAGTAAAGTTCTACTTCCAGTTTCCAATTTTTAGTCCTTGAAAAGAAGTTGTAAAGTCAAAAGCAGCTTATTGTGTTTCATATTTTTGTTAGTTATGTTTTCATCTCATTCACAGAAATTTCATAACCACGACACCTAAAACACATCGAGTTCTTGTGCGATGATTCTCAATTACAGAATGAAACTGCCTCAAGAATTAAAAAAGGATTGTTCACACATTAGCAAATATTAGTGAGATGAATCTTAAACCTTAAAATGAATGCTTTATTTATTGTTACTGTTACTGCATAAAATCCCCTTTTATTAAAGCCTTGTTTTATATTATGTGCATTTTGAGGTTCGTTTTCAGGTTTTTTTTTGATGAAAATCATTTAGTTTATTAATTTTGCCACTAAACATATGCAGCTCGCTAAATACAGACTTCACTCCCCTGACAAAAAAAACGTTATCAAAGTCCTTTTCAGCTGGTACAAGTAAACGCCACACAGTTCTGAGTGCAGTAGCATAACCTGAGCAGGCTACACTTCATAAGACTGGTTTCAGACTGAACTGGGCTGTGGTGGAAGGTGGCCAGCAGCCAGCATGAGTCAAACAGCCTGTAGGAGTGGAACTGCTGCAGCCACAAAGAGAGGAGGGGTGAGACGGGGTGAGGAAAGGGGGGACTCAGACTGGCAGCTGGACTGAAGTGACCTATGGTGAATCATTTCACAGTGTTTGAGCTGTGTTAGGAAGAGGGGAAAAAAATAAATGGTGGTTTTTATTTTTAAATGAAATACGTTTCTGTGTTATTTATTACTACTCTAGCAATATTTACCTGAACATTTAAGGTAATTCTCAAGGCAAAAGGGGTCTAATCTAGTACTTGCACACTGAGCCCAATAGTGTCTAATGAGTGCATATAGATATCAAATGAAGACTGAACATTGCATTCACAATAATTACTTGGTCTTTACATTAAAACATGTATTATTATTGCTGAAAACAGAGTAGAGTAAGCTTTACCTATGCTACCTGCAAGTTACGCCAATCTATACATCCATTCACAAGCCACAGCATATCCAGGCAGAAGGGCAGCCTATCATGATAATGTAAAACATAAAAGCAGGCACTGAAACTTGTTGTTCGTTAACAAAATATGTAGTGATCATAATTTACATGTGACTGCTCACATGTGGCTTTCCTCAAAGACTATGGCACAACTTAAAAAATATTAACTCAGTGTGTCATTTATTGTAGGAATGATTTATTCATTCTGTTTAATGATTTATTCACACATATTGCACGATACACAACTGTGTGTGTGTGTGTGTGTGTGTGTGTGTGTGTGTGTGACGGCAAACAATATTCTCCATGTGCTTGTTTTCTGTGATATGATGTCAATGCATCATGTGACCAGAAACAACTCAACTTCACTGCCATACAAAGGAAGTCACATGCCAGTCGTCATGAGGCCATGGTTATTTATATAAATGAGTGTGATGAGGGACCTTCCACCCACCTCTTTGGAAGGTAACAGCTTTCTGTGTGGTCAGTTTGTCTTTCCAGGCAAAACAACAACAACAAAGCATCGTCTGATATCTGACTCTGGTGGCCACTGATGCTGCTGAGAGTCTTTAGAGAAAACTGCAGAAGACAGAAGATCAATATGTGTATTGACACGAAGGAAAACGATGCACACTGCATCTCTAAAATAGACTGAACAACATCAAGTGTTTTTGATCATTTTACATGCAGATGCTCTTTATATCCAGCTAAATATGGCTTGATTAATTCTGTGCATTGGTGTCAAAATGCCTTCCAGGCACAGAGGTGTCTCAGATGTTGCCTTATATTTGCTGATCTGGGTGTTTTCCTACTTGCTCTAGTGAATACACAAAAGCTAAGCATGTGACTTGAAGATGATCCAAATGTGTCTGAGGTTGTGTTCATAAAGTAAACAAAACACTTCTCATGTGCATTAAAAGGGCTTTGGTAATCACCAAGGATGAAGTTAAGCAGACTGTAGAGTCTAGGCTATTAGCCATTAATAGTAAATGAACATCAAAGTTAAATGGTTTCTCTCCAGGGTCACAGCATAAATATTAGCTGATCAAATTTAGGAAGTGATGCAAGGTGAAGCGGTGGTGTTACAATATAGCATCAAGGGTTTTGCCAGACAGCAGTGATGGTCCTGATATTAGCCTCTCCCTCCTTTCCATTTCTGAGTGCAACACATTCCAGTGAAGCTGCACTTAACCCTTCTTGTCTGCGCAGTGACAGCTGCTCGCCATTATGGCACTGCGTGAACTAATTTTAATGGCTGTCACAGGCAGCAGGAGCAAATGCAGGCCTGCCAGCGTAAACACTGAACTGAAGCCAAGAAGGATGGGCTTCTCTGCAGAGGGTAAATGGCAAGACAGGATAAGAGACCAGTTTACTTTCTGAGACTTGTTAATCATTTCAAATTTCATACAGATGCACAGACAGATGCAGAGACGGGTTTGAGTTCACCACCTCCTCAAGTGATGACTGTGGAATTACCAGTGGGGATTTCCATGTGTGGAAACAAAGCTCAATGTAGCTAATGCTTCAGTTCATTAATGCCGTTAATATTTTTCTTCTTAAAACCATCACCGTTTAGCTTTTGGCGGGGTTAGTTTTTACACCAACATTTTCCAAATTACTTTTAACTATTTTTACATATCCAAGCTGAGGTATTACAGCTTAATTTGTTAAAATAGGTGCAATTAATGAATAATTGCACCTATTTTGCTTTCCCACCACACGTTCACTGATAGTTAATTACTGCTCTAGAAATCCTGTACAATCTTTTATTTTTGTAGTTTAAAAACTAATTTTTAAGTACTGAATTAAACTTAAATAAATCTAATTAGATGGATGTGATTATTTGAAACTATTCATTAACCGATATGACGGATTGAAATGACAAGGCTATCTAATTAAACATTTGGTATCTCTGATTGCTAGACAGCTAAGCGTACAGATTCAACACCGCCCACCCATTTAATTCAGCTATTGCACATTTTGAAACTATAGACACTTAAATCCACTATTCAGGGAAATGGTTGCAAACTTTACAAGGTCAGGCAGCCATTCATCTCACACATGAAGAGCTGCAGACTTAATAAACTACTTGATAAAAATCTGATGATGATTCTGTATTGAATGAAAGGAGGCCTTATGCTTTTTTTTTTTTTTTGCCATTTTCCATCATATTTATTCATGGATACTTATATTATACATAGTCAAAGTTTCATTTAATGTAGACAACATCTTTACCAGGCGCAGACAGTCAGTGGAAAGTTAACTTAAAGGCAAAGCAAGTAAAACAGCTTGTTACAGACAGACGATGAACCACGAGGCCGCACTATACTTAGATATAAGCAAAATTAATAAAGATTATTTTGTAATTTGAATCACGCATAGCTACTCAAGTACAGCACAAGAATAAAAATACTGGGCTTGAAATGTACATAATTAGTCCCCTTTAAATACAAGGGGTGTAGCAAGGCTGGAAGAAGTAAATTTGTCATAACAGTCATGAAACTGAGCCGAAATATTAGCTCATCTAAAAGAAGACGTGACATCTTGCATCCCCCTCATGGACGAGCACAAGTAAGTTAAGACTGGTGTAGAGGGGCTCACAGTGAGTACTCATCTATTTCCAACAAGAAGATTTGAACTGAACTTTACTAGAGAGTTGAAACATTTTTCTACACACTGCCTTTCAGCTAACAGTGTCTCAGGACATTGAGTGATGGAGTACGCCACAGTCTGGTGTTCATCTGTGCAACTTTAAAATAACTGCAGACTTCTCAACTGCACTTCACGAGGGACTAGTGAAAATTATTTACACTAAAAGACACTTTATAAAACAGTAGGAGATGGATGTTAGAGCAGATACAGTAAATTACAGTATTAGCTTACATCTCTATAAACACAAGGATGTTCATAACGTAACAAAAAACTGTGAGCTTACCATCTTCAGTCAAGATGTATCAATATATGATTTAAGACCATCAAGAAAGTTTTGCACAGGAAATAAGTTTATTCACATTTATATATATATGACATAGAAATCTGTAAAAGGCAACTGAAGTGGTGCGGTGAATGCGTATTTAAACAGAACAAAGCATTCAAATAATAATAATAATAATAATACCTCAAACCAACCTGTTACTGTTTGCAGTTAAAGGTTTTTACCCTTTTTTTTTTTTTTAAAAGTGCACTTTCAGCAATTGCAATGTTCCATTTATAAAAGTTAACGAGTAAGGCAGCATGAGTCTTTTTTTCCCAAAATGCAAAAATACTCGTCCAGTTATGAACCAACAATTTTCTCATAAATACCAACAAAAATCTAAAACGGTAAAATTCTTGATCTTAGTGTGCACACTCTTCCTCTGGAAGCCTGCGAGCCAATCATTGACCTCTGTGGGGCTGGCTGATCAGCACTATGACAGTGGTGGAGCAGAGGCCAAGACAGCTGTCCACAGGCCTGACAGCACTTAACCATTAACCTACCTTAACATTTCCCTCAGCTTCTGTCTGGCACGCTATCACTACATTGGAAGGTGTGTGCTGTGCCTGGTCAATCATTGACAGACCAGTTTTTCTGTACACAAGGGCCCTTATGGCTGAGTGGGCACAAAAGGCACACTGTCTCCAAATAAGGCCGTGTTTGTGTCACTTTGTGTCACAGAAAAGGCACTATGTCTAAAATTAAGCATCAACACTTGCTGGTCCCTTGCAAATTTTGACATCAGTAATTGTAGGTGTACATTTGAGTACAAGTGTTGTTCTCAAGGCTGCAGTTCATGTGTCTGCGTTTCTCTCTGGCTTTATAGTGAGCCAATAGCAGCGCTCAGTGAGTTGGAATGTGATGATTGGGCTGAGGAGGACCCAGGAATCCGAGCCTCTGTTTGTTCTTCCTCTGTTCTGTCATCTGTTGAGGAGATGGGGAGGAAAACAAAAGCTGTAAGGTTTGTATATTCTGTATGTAGCACACACAGAAACTTGGTTTCTTGCAATTAATGTAGTAGTACAGTTTATATATATATATATATATATATGAATAAACTTGCAGTACATGTAGATTTCTCCTCCAAGAGTGAACAAACTGTTTTAGTTTAGACAAAAATCATTGAATTTGTCATTTCAGAAGTTGCACAGTTATTCTACAACATTCTTCTATCAATTTTAAATCGCCTGAGATGTAATCTTCTGCACGGCTGCATGAAAATAACCTTGTTCAACACTGCCGTTATGACTGGAAACTAAAATGTCCCTTGGAAACTTCATTAGAGGACACAGTCATGTGTGGGAGTGTGCAGAACTGTGACCTGCACAGTGGATGTATAAGAGTAAGTGCGTGTGTGTAAATGAATCAGAAATGCTGGTTCACATTTACAGTGGTTTCCAGTGTTGACGTCACAAATGGGGTCCATGGGCTCTGTGAGCCGTAAACTGTATATGCAAAATAAAAAGGGCGGAAAAAAAGCAGGCTGTGCAGAAAGCCACACTGCTAAGTAGCGACACACATAAACCTACACAGAGTCTCAGCTGTGATAGTGTGCAGAGGTCAGCAAAAGGTTGTAATGAAGGAGGAGCTGCAGGAGAACTTTCCTCCCAGTGAGAAACAGTCTTGAGTTCATATCTGGTGTGAGACCTGCAGACCTCCCTTGTGACTGCAGAGCTGTGGTTGGGCCTCACCTAACCCTCCATAAACACACTCACCTCCTGTGGCGTAAACTACACTTTCTGTTTACCATATAGGTGGAGTAGTATTCATGCTAACCCTATGATTCCTTATTAGTCAGAATAGAACCGGCAAACTTAGATTAGAATAGGTCCGCCTGCAGCTGACGCAAAACAGATTCAAAGATAATGCCTTGCCATCTTTGTTCAACCGTGCTGTAACAAAAGACATATTGAGCTGTTACTGGGGGTTACATGAGAGATCCCAGCGCACAGCGAGATGTTACCAACTTTACTGCTTGCAGAGGTCGACAGTAGCTGTTCTCTTTTTTTGTTGTTTTTGTTTTTTTTAGTGAAGTGTTATTCTGCCCCATAAGGAGCTGTTTTCACACATTAGGCAGAAGAGGAACAAGGACAGGCCTGTGACTGGAATCACATGCAGAGGAGGCAGGTGATGAGAGTGATCAGTCACACTGCAGCAGCGGTGCTAGTCATCCAAACAGCCAGAGGCTCACTGGCGGCTCTCAGTCGTGTCGACTGCTGACGTGATAGTCACCTGTCGTGCTGCGTTCAGTAGCAGAATCCATCTGCATGAATAAACTGAGAGCATAGGGACTCTGCTAAAGCTATGTCTTTTATGTGACCTCCTCCCCTGTTGGTGTTACGAGGAGTCATGTGACGTGGACTTCACAGCACATGCGTGGCAGTCAGCTACCGAACAAGACGCAGTTTTACTTTGTGCTATTAAGCAGTTACAAAGAGCACAATGCTCAGAAGAGACCTTTTCCACAAGAGCATGAAAAATGCCTGAAGTAGCATTCTACCTGTTCTTTGAGCTCAGCCAGCTGGCCTGAGAGCTGAGCCACCAGATTGGCAGTGTTCTCCAGTTTCTCCTGCAGAGACCGCATCTCATTTTGCTCGTTGTCTCCCTCGCTGCTCACCAGAGACATGGCTCTCATACGAGGGAACCAGTCCAAGTTCTTCTCCTGGAGGAAAGGGGGAGAGAGATGGTATGTATGAGAAACGGAGAGAAAGGTGAAAAGAATAAACGCCTGAAATAAAGCTGACTCAATAGGTCAGAGGGATGGAAGCAACAGTATGTTGGCACACATGCAAGATTTGCATAGACATGTCAGGAGCATTACAGTGCTGAAGCCAGACTGCAGGAGGAGAGTAAACACAGAGGTAGTGGTAAGTGAAGACAGGCGTGGAGGTTTAATATTAATCATTTCATCAGAATGGAAGCTGCTCTCCGTTTTGCACCTGACAGTGTAAATTTTTTTAAGCACCATTGCTGTCTCTTGGATACAGCAGATAGCAATAATACACTAAATGAACAGTAACTGGCATTTCAATTCTCACCCACTCCATAAGCACACTGTTGATGCACACAGGAGATGAGTCACTGTCGTCTATCAAGAACACAACTGGGAGTATAGTGTTACTTATGCGCTCGCGCGCGCGTGTGTGTGGTCACATGCAAAACGCGGATGTTTATTTTCTGTTTTTCTAACAGCGCAGCAGCAGCAGAGCAAACACTGCAGCAACGGTATAAGAAAACAAGGCGCATGCAAACCTATAGAATTATGTAAAGCGTGACTGTGTTTGTCTCTGTGTGGGTGTGTGTGCTGTTCATTTGCTACTGCATGGATATGTACACAGAAAGGTGTGAGCGAGCGTGTGTGTTTTACAACACGCGTGGCTCTTGTGCAACGCTGAAAGTGAGATAGGTTTCACAGCGACAGACTGCCATCGGCTTATCTTATGTAATATTCTTTAGCCAGTTCTTCTGATAAAAATTACTTAAAAGGTGCTGAGAGTGGGATTTGACTGGCACCACGTTAAGTCTGGTAGGAGGAGTGAGGTATTCTCCCACCTTCTCTTATATAAGAATAAACCGCAGGGATAGAAAGACCGATCAGAGTGCGAGACGCTGAGGACAAAGAAGAGGACATGCCGTCTGAGGGTGGACAGGGATGTGGAGCGTGTCGGTTATTTGTTTGCATTTCCTCATGTGATCGGTTTAACCACTCTACTAGGTAAACTACATTCGTTTACTGCTTTGTCCATTCCTCATCAACAATACTATATATATA